TTCATCTTTTACTATATAAAATATGAGCCCCAGGTGAAGGAGGTATGTTTTATATTTGTTCTGTCAGGTGAGACTAGCTACAACACTATCACTTGTCTTCAGGGATTTGTTCTATTGTGCTTTTATATAATGGTTTCCATCTGTTGTAAAGAATACTTTCTTTAATGAGTGCTAAGATCAATACTATCTGTAAACATAAGTATGGATATTTAGAATGTAGTTAAGGATTATGCTTATTTCATAAAGTGGCAGTTGTAGATTCTTTTTAAAATCCCATGACCTTACTAACTCTGTGTATGTGTCTAGGTTTCTAGTATTGGGAAAGATTTCTTCCTTATTAGCAGAAATTAATTCCAGTTAGAGAGCTGTTGCTTATTACCAAGCTGTAGGTGCCACTGTTGCATGCTCAGGGATAGTACTCCATGTTGTCTGTAGTTCATAAGCACCACAGATGAATAGGGCTATTGAAAGCTGTCATGGGAGAATGCTTGAAAAGCAGAAGCAATCCAGATAATCCAGATCCTATATGGAAAGTATGTAGTGTCTTATGCCATACAGATTTGCTATCAGCTTCAAGGAGGCAACCAAAGGCAATTATAACTGTCTATTTTGTTTTGGTAGTCTCTTGGAAAATACTAAAAAATATGATGAAAAGACTTTTCATATCTGCTGTTGAAGGTTTTATTAAAAAGGCTGTATTTTGGTGGGCGGGGAGGGGGAGAACATTGTCAGTCCACAGGTAAAGATTTCATTAAATTACACACACACACAAACACTACATAATTCTAAGTAAAGAAATACTAAATATTTTCCTTATGGCTTTTTAAAGCATAATTAAAGCTCCTGTTTTCCCCATTTTGTTTAACTTGACAATGCTTATTTAGGTGAAGATAAAAGTTCTAAGTTGTTCTGATTTGCTAATTAAATTTGCTAACTCCCCCAATGTCAACAGTTGGACTTTTTATAGTTAAATTTTAACCATGTTTATTTCCTCCTTTGATGATCTCTATTCATATCCAAAGTCCAATTTTTTTAATGGATTCTTTGGTTTCTGGTTTTTGTTTTGTTTTGTTTTGTTTTTGTTTGCTTGTTTTAGTTTTGATTCAGGGTGTGTGTGTGTGTGTGTGTGTGTGTGTGTGTGTGTTTATATGTGTGTGTGGTTTTTGTTGTTGTTTTTATATTATTGATGTTAATCCTTTGTCAGATGTACAGCTGGAAAAGATCATCTCCATTCTATTGACCTCCTCTTTACTGCATTGACTGTTTCTTAAGCTATGAAAAAGCTGTTTAGTCTTTTGAGCCTCAATTTACTGATTGCTTGCCTCAATACCTGAGCAAATACAGTCCTATTTAGAAAGTCCTTTCCTACACCTATATCAGGTACTGTCTATGTTATCTCCTAGTGTTTCATTGATTACGGTTTCACATTAAGGTCTTTGATTCTTTTAAAGTTGGGTTTTGTGCCAGGTGATAAATACAAGTCTAATTTCAGGTTGACATATAGTTATCCATCAACATTTTTAAAAGATGTTATCTTTTCTCCAGTGTAAATTTTTTATATATTTTTGTAATGTCAGATAGTTGTAGTTATGCTTAGTCATGTTTTAGTTTCTGACTTATTCTATTTGTCTATATATATCTGTTTAGGTGTCAGTACTATTTTATTTTTTATTATTATGGCTCTATAATATATTTTGAGGTTGAGAATGGTATCCCTTTCAGTGTTTTGTTTTATTGTTTTTTTTTTTTTTTTTAGCAAAGTTACTTTTTAATTTCTGTGGAAAATTAAGTTGGGATTTTGATTAAGATAGCAGTGAATTTGTGAGTTGTTTTGATACCCACAATCATGGGATATCTTGTCGTTTTCTGACATCTTTTTCTATCTCTTTCTTCAGAGATTGAGGAATTTCATTGCATATGTCTTTTACTTCTTTGATCAAATTTTGTTCTTAGATATTTTATTTTCCTCACTCTTATTATGAATGGGAGTAAATTAATGATTTCTTTCTGTCTCTGTTTGTTGTTGCTGTATAGAAAAGCTATTGATTTAAGGAAGTTGATTCTGCACCTTGCCTCATTGCTGAAATTACTTAACTTTTTTGTAAAAATTTTGATAAAAATCTTTGGGATCACTAGGTTTTGGTTTGCTTTTATTTCCCAAAGATTTTGAGTGCATCAACAAGCCATTTATGTGTGTTCCTTGTGATTTTTTTTTCTGTAGGTAATTAAATTAGAGTAATTTCCTTCATAGTACTTCCTTTAATGTGTGCCACAGATATTTTTGTGTTTTATTTTAACTTAGTTATAGGAAAATTATTTTATTTTTCTTAATTATTTCTTTGACAGATTCCGTATTCAGCCATGAGTTGTTAACTTCCATGAAATTGTGTGCTTACTAGAGATTTCTTTGCTATCAACTTTAACTTTTATTTTGTTATAGCCAAAGCAGGTACATAGTTATTTTAGTCTTTCTGAATTGGTTAAGATTTATGCTGTATTCTAGGTGTAGTTTATTCTATATTTCAAAGTCAGCTTCCATTGCCTTCTAAGTCAAATGTATATATTTTGTATTTGAAAAGAATATTCTGTGGATATCTTTTACATTCATTTGATATATGTATCAATTAATTCTTATGTTTTTTTCCCAAATGAACTGTCTATTTGAGAAAGGGATATTGTTATCATTGAATACTAATGTGCTGATTTTAATCTGTGTCTTTAATTTGAGTAGAACATTTTTTATGAAATTGTATATACCAGAGTTTGGTGCACACTCTGGATAATAATGTGTTCTTTGTTTATTAGTCCCTTGACTAAAATGAAGTTTGTTTCAACCTCTTTTCATTAGTTCTAGTTTGAAGTCTACTTTGTAGAATATTGATATAGGAATGTCTGTTTGCTTTCTAGTATGATTTGATTGAAATACTTTTGCCTATCCTTTCTCTTGAATGTAGTGTGCATCTTTAAAGGTAAATTGTGTTTTATGTAGAAATCAGGTAGATGGCTTTTATTTCTCAATTCATTCTGTCAGCTTTTATCTTAGATACTTAAGATTACTAATGTTTAAAGTTATTTCTGAAAGTTATATAGATCACAGTCATTATGGGTATTTTTGTTTGTTTTTTGTTTTTGTTTTTGATTTTGGCTGTTTGTCATATCAATGTTATTTTGTGTTCAGTAACTTAGGTTTGTTTTCTTTCTACAGCCTATTTTTTTGTATGCTTATTCCTTATACAGCCCAAAGTTTTGCCTTTTATATTTCCTTTAAGTTTAGTTTTTTGTATAGAATTCTTTGTATGCTGTTTGTATTACTGGAAGTTTTTTTCTTTCTCCTTTATTGTGTACAATATTCTTAGCTGACAGAGCTTGAAATTCTTTGTTCTTCACCCCCTTTTCTTTTTTTGAAGTGTCCATCAAGAACTTAGTTGATATTCTGATGGGTTTTCCATTATACGTGTGATGGTTTGTTTTAAAAATTTTAATACATTTTCTTTGTTTTGTATATTTAGTGTTTTAATCATGTTTAGCTTTGGGACGTTTCTTTTCTTGTCTTGTCTATGTGGTGTTCTGTGTGCTTCTTGTAACAGTATGAGTAAGTATTTCCTTCATATAGGGAAGTTTATTTCTATGACTTTGTTGAAGATTTTATTTATACTATTTACAAGGGATTTTCTCATATATTTTATAATTCAAACATTGGTCTTTTTAGTTTTAATTTCATTTATTTATTTGGTCTAGATATTCTACTTTATTTTGGAATGCTGATATTTGACATTCTGTTTGGTTTATTCTACTTGTAAAGACCTTTTCTTGAGATTCTGGTTGGGTCATTATCTTTTCCATTCCATTTTTAAAAATCCTGGATTCCTTTATCTTTTCCATCAGTGGCAGGTTTTCTAGGGAAGCAGTTATGCATTATTAGATTGTCGACCAACATGCCAAGAAAACAGAAAACAGTTGTGAAAATCTTTTTCTGTGTTCTTTCATTAGAGTACTTTCATCAAGTGTGTGCAAATTCAAGATGTAAAACACACTAATGTCTTGTATAAAATGGAATATATAAATAATATAAAGTGTTCAAGTTTCTTTGAAGTTTAGTTTGAAAAGAAACTGCTTCTTTGTTGTCTCAGTTTCAAAATCAGTACATATGTTTTATTAATTTGAGGTGAATACTTTGAACATTCACACATACCCCACACTCCTCTCCTAACCATCCCCTCCACACTCTCATTAATTTTCATGCAGCTTTGATATTTGTTGTTTTTTTTTTTTCTTCCTTCCTTTTTTCTTTCTTTCTTTACCACCTTTGTACTGTCCAGCTAGTCTTGGGAGTGAAACCTATCCTGGGATACTGTGTACCTACCCGTGGTTATATCATTAAACATAACTGACTCTCCTTCACCTCAGCTAGCAGTGGCATTTCATGGTATACTTCTGTCTCTTTGTTGGGATTTTTCTGACTGGGGCTCATTTAGGTCTTGTACATTCTGTCACAATTGCTGTGGGATCATATATACAACAGCCCTTTTGTGTCTAGGCTTGACAAACACCCTTTCTTAATACTCAACCATATTTGACTCATATAACCTTCTTTTCTCTCTTCTATTTTGTAGAGAGGGGTGTAATTTGTCCAGTCCATTTGTTGCTGAGAACTCTGCAATTTCTTATTATCTACTCAATTCATATTTTGGAGGAGAGAGTCTCTGTGCTAATTGCCATCTGTTGCAAGGAGAGAATTTTAAGATATAGGCTGTGAGAGTCACTGACCTAGGGGTTTAATAAGTAACTAGGAATCATTTTATTATGTCGTTCAGCAGAATAATAGAATCAGATACTAACCTAAGGCTTATGACTTTTCTTAAGTTCAAGTTTCCTTTAATAATGGCTGGTGTGGTTTCCTTTTAACAGAATGGGTCTTAGAGCCAATCAGAAAGTTAATAAAATTGATTTTGATATAGAAAAAAATCTTCTAAATTTGATTAAATTACATTCAATTGCAGGTCCTTTTGAGGCATTCATCATCTTTTCTATACGCCATGAGATTCGGAGGATTGATCTGCATAAAGGAGACTATAGCCTACTTGTTCCTGGACTGAGAAACACTATAGCACTTGATTTTCATTTCAATCAAAGTTTACTTTATTGGACAGATGTTGTAGAAGACAGAATATACAGGGGCAAGCTTTCAGAGAATGGAGGTATGGGTATTGAAATTTCATTGAATGATGAAATTAGTTTTTGAATTGCAATATATAATATCAGAAAAGATTTTGATTAATCTTTCACTGTCAGTTCTCTCTGTATGTATAAAAACAGAAGATTTAGTACATACATGAAGAGGTGCTAGGGGAGAGAACTGGCCAGGCTCAGATTACTCATCTGTTGCCTTTCAATGAATTTTTCTGAGAGTTATGCAAAAAAAAAATGTATTTCCTTATGAGGAAAAGAAAAGATTGGTTTCTAGGTACTCTTAATTGGATCTGGGAGTTAAAGTAGCCATTCTTATTTGAATAATACATTTCAACATAATTCAAAGAAATAGTGAAAATGTTTGTGCAAATATATGAACTATATTTTTGCCATAATAAAACATATCTTCTGTCGGTACTGTTTAGATGAAGTTGTGTGATACTTCACTTATATAAATGTTGCTTTTTTGTAGCATTGCAATTATAAGTGCTATCAAATTATTAATTTCTGATGAAATTCCCTTAGCCGTTTCAAAAATAGTAATGCTTAAACACAGTATAACTAAACTATGAAAAATGCTTCCTGTGTCTTATGTTCATGTAATGACTAAAATTAGTGACTTTACAGAACAAGTTTGTTAACTATATGAAATTTAAAATGGAAACCACTGACAGTACCATGTGTTAAAATGAATACACCATTAGAAAAGGGCTGTAGAATGAATTTCATTTAGTTATGAAAGAAATTAAGCAGTAGATAAATAAGAAATTGGGCATATCTTTCCCAACTTCTGATTTCTATGCAACTTTCCCCCTTTTTTGCTTCTGACCTGCTAAGAGTCTCATGGTCAGGGAATAGGATGAGTGTGGATTAGGGCTTAAGTTTGCTGAGGATATATATGGAAATGGTGAAATTATGTATGGTGCCTAACCAAACACAGAAAATGGTGTGGTTATTTAGCACAATGAATTTTGATCCAGGTAGACTTTCCCTCCTCCTTACTTCTCTCTTTGAAGGACAGACTTTTGATTAAATTTCCTTCTTTTCCCCACTTTACTTTACTTCTTTACTTCTTTAGCATGTCTCTTGTTCTGTCAGGAAAACCTCAACAGGAAATAAATGTTTTGCAGTTACTCACATTGCTATCACTCCAGTGTTTTCCAAAAGTCCTGCAAAGGTTTATTCGAGTGAAAATATCTGGTAGTGAAGAACAGGTACTGTAAATGTTGAAATCAATTTTCTGTATTAATTTTCCATCAGGACCTTCAGAACTGATGGACTTTGGGCTGTGACCTCAAATCGGCCTATCTTCTAAACCTGCTTGAATGGCTTTGCATATCGGCTTCCTTTTTTAACAGGTGTCAGTGCCATAGAAGTGGTTGTAGAACATGGCTTGGCTACTCCAGAAGGCCTGACAGTCGACTGGATAGCAGGCAACATATACTGGATAGACAGCAATCTGGACCAAATTGAAGTATCTAAACTCGATGGTTCTCTGAGAGCTACATTGATAGCAGGAGACATGGAACATCCCAGAGCCATTGCACTAGACCCAAGATATGGGTAAGAATCTTAACTTTACAGGTTCTTTTTGTCATAGAACTGATCCTCCAATTTACAGTTCTAAATTAGGAGGTAAAATGATCACTTTACATATTAGTATGCTTATGATTGTGCAGCTGTGTGTGCCAGCATAGTAGCATAGCAGTAAGTGTGCACACATTGGCAGAAGTTTCTTTATAGAGTCCCTTGCTCAGAACTTTTCTGAGACAGAATATATCTTCCTATTAAATATGGGCACAAAGCACTATTGTAAGGGATTGCAGCTCTTTTCCAAAGCAGTAATTTAATGAATTCCTCTTTGCTTTGCCCCAGAGATGCTATAATTTTTTCTAATGGCTACAAACCCCAGGGTGAATCTTTGTTCTGAATAGTCACAGATGTTAACCAACTCACCCTTTATTTATTTGCTGTGTTCTTAGAGTCAATTGAAAAGGAAATTGAAACAGGTTTAAAGGAGTCTAGCAGTGGGATGCTGACTATTGGGAAGTTTTGAGAGACAAAAGACCTGATTCTGGAAAACAGTGTTAAATGTTGAGTGACTTCGGCTATTGCCTGGTTTATCCCTTGTGTGCTGATTTTTCAAGCAGCAGAAGAAAAACAGCAGACTTGGAAGCCATAAGTTCTAATTCTGGCACAGACACTTGCTCTCTGGTGAACTCAAATGTGTGACCTCTTATATTTCAGCTTTATCTTTTGAGTATTAAGGGATTACATATGGGAAAGAATTATGCAGCCAACAGGAGAGAACACTTTTGAATTCCTGTGAATTATTTATTTCCTTGGTAATGAGCTTGTAAGCTAGAGGCTTTGTCAAGTCTGCAAAATATTTGAAAAGCACTACTTTGGGCTCTATATTTTAAGTTCAAAGTTCAGAAATCATTGGTCAGAGCCATGTAAGCCCAGAGGAAGCTGACTGAGATATAGAGGAGACTAACTGCCCTCCACCACCTTGATGGTGCTGAGCTTTCTGCCCATATGTGTCTTCTTCTCTTTTCTTTCCCCAGGACCTAAACACCAGTAGATCAGGAGGTGTTTTTCTTTTACACATGTTTAGATATTACATTTAAAATGTGAACACCTTTCCTGCAGAAGAGATGCTGCATTAGCGACTCTAGCATGAGGGTTTGTCTTTCGTGTAGTTTAAAATGTGTTTTGAATCCATCACAAATTCTTCGAATATTGGGGAATTTTTCTTGAAACCATAGATTTCTGGCTCTTTTTAAACTTGGAAGAGCTGGGGTTGATAAGCTGAGAGATGGTATTTATTTTATCTCAGTCTACAGTCTAATTTTATTCTCTAGTCTACAGTCTGCCTTACACACTTTCTTTCTTAGCTACTACAAGCAACTCATCTAGAAAAACCTATGGAGTTAAACCAGGAAGGCTGTTATTTTTCAACAATCTGTTCCCTAAATACAAGCAGATAGGTGACCTTCTATACCACCCACAAAGCTTACAGCTGATGGCTCCCACTGTGACCCATACTGATAGGAAGTTCCTGCCCATCACTCCTGGCTAAGTTGTACAAACAATAAATCTTGATGGGAAGCTTTCTTCATAACAGCAAGTGATATGTTGAATCAAGATACATTTATAGCATGCATTCCATCATGAGGAAGAAAATGAGAACACTTCCCAAAGCACAGACTAGAAGAGAGAGGTGAACATAAACAGCACAAGTCAGTTTTAGAAATTGTGTACAGTCACTCAATTTGAGGAAAGAACATAAGCTTATTTGTCTCTGTTTTGTTGTTGGTAGGTTTGTTTCCTCCTCATAATATGCAACTTTAACAGAAGAATATAAAACAGAAACAGGAAGGGCACAAAAACTAAATGAAAATACCCAACATTTCAGTGACTGAAGGGTTCCTGTAAGAATCTAATGTTGATAGAAAAGGCTAGCCCATATATAGAAGAACCTATAAAACTCCAAGAGGTCCATGTGGGGTGGGTGTCCTGAAAAGGCCTCCAAGAGAGAATATTCTGCTCTATTAAGGTTAGCCAGAACATTTGTGTGGTTAATTAATGTAATCACAGAATTAATGTGGTAGTTAAAAAATAAAATAAAAATGTTGAAAACAACATGTTTCAAACTGCTTCTGGCATAAATGACTGAAGGACAGATGAAACTCACTTCTTGCTCCTGTGAGAGCTAATGCAAAGTTTGGCTGTCACGTTTGAGAGTATTTTCAGTTAAAGTTATTAAATGGAATGGTGGAATAGTTACAATGGGAATTCATTTGACCTCCTTAAATCACAGCCATAGCAATTAAGTGATAATTTTAATGCAACTGTTTAAATAGTGTTAGCTTTATTGGATATTTTAGTAAAACCCTGTGAGATTAGAGTTTTGCATAGTAGACTAAAAACAAAAGAACAATAAGCATACTTGCAGCATATAAAACATATAGATATCACATGCCAACTCACACACAGAATATACAGCACACACACATATATACATTCATACTTACACATAGGATTACAACACAAACACACATACATATATACACTAATATACAAGGTATAGACAACATAATCACAGACTCACAAAAACAGCAATGACAAAAGAACACACTCATGCACACATTCATACACAAGCATGCTTCAAAGCCCAACTAATCAGAAAAATCAACAATGCAAATAAATTACTTAAACTTAATTTATCATCTTATTGTTGTCTAAAGGGTACATTACCATTTATTATTCAAAAGTTTCCTGAAATGTAAGGAAATTCTGTACCTGTATTGATAAGAGCTCCAAAAGAATTCCAAAATCTAAACATTTTTTAAACATTTCATTTTAGGGCATTTCCCTGGTCTAGTTGAAAACTATGCCTTGAATAAATAACTTATTTTCTATTAAATCAAAAAACTTCCTCATGACATGAAAACTTACTTAAATTTCTGAAGTTCATCATAGTTCTTGTAGCATAGAAACATGACCCATAAATACTTGTTAAACAAATGTATGCCTGTGCACTGGCTTTGTTTACATAACACCTCTAAGGCCTTAAATTACAGAGAACAAGAGAATTGATGAGAAATGCTATAAATTTCATTTACAATAACAAATATAGAGAAATGTTTGTCCTTAGCCACTTTGTTTGTTCAGTGTGTCAGAGACAACAAACAAATGACTGTCATAACATCATTCCTATGAAAACATACATAGCTCCTGTGAATTTCAGGAAGCCAGAGAACCTTTGTATGAAGGTGTAGGTGTAATTATTTCACTAGACCCACGATAAATGATAAAGGGGTATTTATTGGGGAACACTTAAACAGATAATAATAACAACGGTAGCGCTTCTCTGTCCTTCCTATAGGATCCGCTGACCCAAGAGAGTCTACTAAAAACGAGATGTCTATACTTCCCTCTTTCTGCTTCCCTCCGCCTGAAGCCACACACAAATGGGTGTGGCCACAGTTACAGGTTCACAGGCATGTCACTGCTACATCTGTGACTCATTTTTGGGGTGACAAATAATAGTAGTGCTTCCACAACCATCTAGATTTACCTAGCACACAACCACTGACCTTCACAGTATATTACAAAATGCATCTGCCTCACCCCACATTTCCAGTGTTGAGGATTTCTACTCAGTCTCTAGAGTAACAGGCTACTCTAAGATGGTCATGTGTCTCTTAGAAAGGTCCGTTTTTCTGTTCTTTTTTTTTTTTTTTTTTTTTTCATGCGTTTTTTAGTTGAATTTCTTGCTGTAATGCCCTGAAGGAGGATGTGAAGTTCTCTAATGCCAAGCTTCTTACTGGCGAATGATCAGCAGTTCTGATCCAAGCTTCTTACTGGGGAATGATCAGCAGTTTTGAACGTGCATAGTCCTCCAATGTTATTGAACTTCACCGTGCTCATGCTCGGTTCCAACAGGACAATTCCAACAGGACAATGTGTTTTCTTCTCCATTTCTCACATTTATCTTTCAGGTCTCTGCTCATTTACATCCATTAGCAAAAGTAAATCCAGCACTTGTAAATATTAGTTAAGCAATTGTATCAAATTTTCTCTGGGAATCCTATAAATTACAGTAATCTCTAGCCATTGTTAACTTTAAATACAAAGATAACCTCTGCTTTGCAAAGGTCTTTTCTTTTTACCTTTCTCAACTTGAACTGACAGATTAGCTCACAATAGTCCAGGTTGTTCACAGTCTATTGCCCAGCTTAATCTGAAAGTAGAAACTGCAAAACCATAGTCCATAGATTCTCTTTAAAAAACAATTGTAGCTGAGCATCTCTGAGTTATATAAAGATCCAGTCTTCCTGTACTTGAGGAACTAACGCACTCTTTGAAATTTTAACACATTTTTACCATTTAGAAAGGAATACAACAAAAAATAATGTTATAGTACCAACATGTTTAACTCACAGAAGAGTCCGGTGAACTTTATGAAATAATAAGCCATGAAGTCAACCATGGATGTCAGTTGTGTTAGCTTGTTGTGGCAAGGTTAAGAACACTTTGAAGGCAACTATTTTTAGAACATATTCTTCTACAAAAAGTAAAGTTTTCTACTAAAAGTGATTTAAATGTATTATTACAGTACTCACTAAATAAGAAATACACAAGTACATGTATGCATGCGTGCGTACACACACACACACACACACACACACACACACACGCACACACACTTTTAATGACCAAATAAAAGCATGAGTCAACTGAGTTAGAATGCCACATTGATCTATCCCATCCTTTGTTCTCTACTAAAAGCCTGTTTGAGAGTTTATAGGGTCTTTTAAAGTGAAACTAAAGGTATGCCTTTCCGAACAACAAACACACAAACAAGGACAAAAAAAAAAAAAAAAAAAAAAAAAAAAACAAAGAACAACAAAATTAAAAACTAACATTCACCTTGAAAGGGAATACAGTAAGAGATGGTTTATTCTGAAGCAAAATGTGAGTGATCATTCACAATCTTTTAATAGTAACAACAAGGAAAGCCACAAATAAAAATGCTTTTCATATGTATTGGATGATACATCAGTTACACAAGTTACTCAAGATAGGGTGAACTTCTCTTTAAGTCTGAGCTGTTCTTTACCAACACTCTTAATTATGATTGGTGGAAAACTAGGATTTTGTTAAGTTAATGCATTCCAAAAGGATTTTTTTATTATTTATTCCGTTAAAATGACAAGTATAACACAAGAAATGGTTAGTGTCAGAACATAGTCTAAGAATGGAACATGTGAGAACATGCGAGAATTCTGAATACTTGTAAGAAAACGAGACAGATTCTTGTGATCTCAGATTTTTAAAAACAGAATTGTTTTTGGAATATGTTTTCTTGCTCCTCCCAGGAGTCTTTTAACTTAGCTGTTGTTATTCATGTGCCTCTATGGAGGGAACACATTGTTGCCACATGTCTCTTATCCTTGTGCCTGGACACTTTACTCAGGTGACTGACTGTTCTTAACTCTCTGAGTATAAACTGTCTGATGCTCTGAATAAAGTTGGCTGTTACATGACACTTTAGTTAGCTTCATTTTTAGGCTCTGTTCTTCCAGGTTCAAATTGCCAACTACAGCAGTAAACAGTACGGTAAAGATAGCTCTAAATAATTGTTAAGGTCCAGGCCTGGACATTTTATTCTCTCCAACTACTTAATTGAACAGTATACCAGTCTCATAGTAATAAAGATTTATTCCATGTTTGATTTAATAAAATATATTAAAATTTTGTATATTCTGGGTCTAGGGTGATGGCTCTTCCAGAGGACCTGGGTTCAATTCCTAGCACCCACATTTTGAGTCAAACTGTCCCTAACACCCTGACATAAATGCAAGAAAAGCACCAATGCATATAAATTTAAAACTTGTGCATTTATTATATTTTCATGGATTCTTGTCTATGAACATTATTTTATATGATTAGTGCTGTCATTCAAAACATCACTTTCTTTAAAGTATTGTAATTTTTTAAAAGACCAAGAAGCAAGTGTTAGATATTTTATATATGTCCTCTGGTACATTTTAAAATTTTTACTTATTTTACTTTGAGATATCTGCATTTTAAAACTTTTATTAGACAAATAATCAAACACATAAACTAAAACTATTTGCATGAAAAAATCAATTGCACCTGTTACTCAGCTTCAATATTTGTCAGTCTTATCCCCTGGGGTGATATTATTTATAGTTGTGCTTTCCCAAATACCAAATATTGCCCTGACCAGACAAGAGGCAATTTGAAGTATTTTTTTTTTTTGTAGAAATCTTTCAATCAGCATATCTGTGAAAACACGCAGAAACTGATAACGATTTAAAAAGAATGTTACTATAAGCTACTGAGAAACATATTGAACAACTTCAAAAACAAAACTCTCACATTCTAAAGGGCATGGGCAATAGTTTATTCTGGAGCCATTTTTGAGTGATCACAGGCCACATCCATTTCCCAATGCTTAAGCAGTTTTATTAAGTTTTATAGTTTGTAGAACAAAGAGGTTTATATTTCAATGCAAGTTTTAAATATATTGGTGGACTATCAGGGATGCAGGGATAAAAATATGGGGGAAGTTTTCCTACAGGTCATCAGATGATGTATAAAGGCATCCTTAGATTTGGGTTATCGATAGCTAGGGGTCTGCTAAGTTATCCCCAGGGTTTTGTATACTAGTTACAGAGTGTAAGTTCTGACACAGAGTTGGCTGTTCTGTGGGGTCTACAGATAGCCCGAGGTATGGCAAATAGCTTTGTACCTGGAACATTCTAGTGCCTACACATCACTGGAATTCTAGTGTGCAAGTTGATCTGAAGACAGGGCTACTTGCTCTTCAGCAGGAGCTCTTGGGGATTTTACTTACAGGAGTCAATAGTGATCTAACCAAGAACTCCTAGATAGTATTCCACTTTCTCCCTTGCTGATCGATGGCCCTCTTCCACTCTTTGTTCCTCATTTTTCTCTGACTTCACTTTGGAGCTCTGGTCTTTTCCTGAGCCTGAAGCTGCCTCATTCTTCCTGTTAGAGTGTTCTGGACACTTACCAACTACCCAACTACTACTCTATGCATTACAACTTTTTCTTCAAAATATTTCACAGGTGGTCATTTTATGTGCAAGAACTCACATGATCTGACTATTCCTACATACTTGAAGCCACTGGGTTAGAAAATAAAGCTTTTCTTTCTTTCTTTCTTTTTTTGCAACTTTTACCTTGGGAACTTCTCCTCATGTAGTAGACATAAAATAAAAAATAAACACTGGAATTATTTCTTTTTCTTCAGAATTCTTTTCTGGACAGATTGGGATGCCAATTTCCCTCGCATTGAATCTGCCTCTATGAGTGGTGCTGAGAGAAAAACTATCTACAAAGACATGAAAACTGGGGCATGGCCTAATGGATTGACTGTGGACCACTTTGAAAAAAGGATAGTTTGGACAGATGCCAGGTTAAAATTATTCTTTTGTTTTTTTCATTTATATTCTCCTCTTTTAAACCTATATTGTTAAGTAGTCTAATATATGAGTGTCATATAGTGAGATTGTATTTTGAGTTTGATAGTTGTTTTGTTTTGCTTTGGAAAATGTTAAGTATAGGTCCATTGAGTTAATTAGTCTATCATTTGTTTGATTTGCATAACTGTATCACTCCTTCTGTACTTTGATAAATGACTGGTATACTGACCTTTCTCTAGGTCAGATGCTATTTACTCAGCCTTCTATGATGGCACAAACATGATAGAAATTATCAGAGGACATGAGTACCTGTCACATCCCTTTGCTGTGTCTTTGTATGGGAGTGAGGTGTACTGGACAGACTGGAGGACCAACACATTGGCCAAAGCCAACAAGTGGACAGGGCAGAATGTCAGTGTGATTCAGAAGACCAGTGCACAGCCATTTGACCTTCAGATATACCATCCTAGTCGACAGCCACAAGGTAGGTGCTAAGATCAAACTAACCATTTGGAAACATGTCTACATGAACTTGTGTGAGTGTAAAAGAAATAATGTATGTTAAGAGTTACTTTATGTTCCTGGGAGCACTAGCCTTCATTTAGTTAGCTCAGGATTTTTCTGCTTTGCCTTTTTATTTTTTCCTTTACAATATTACTCTTAGAAATTAAAAGTTTTATACTGTCTTAAATTTTTAAATCACTGACAAGAAAGTGTGGGAAGCTTTCTATAATATTCAAATTTGGAGCTGGGGAGACAGCTTAGTATGTGTTACTCATGCAGAGAACGCAAGTTCATTTTCTAACTACTGTAACTTCAGAGGATCAGATACTTCTTCTGGCTTCTACAGGTACCCATACTAATGTATGCACCCACGTGCATTCTCTCTGTCTCTCTTTCTCTCTGTCTCTCTATCTATCTCTCTCTCACACACACACGCACACACACATGCATACACACTTACAATCAACTAAAATAAAACAACTATTTAAAGAAAAATTTTAAAAAGATCATTGTATATGGATCTTCTTACAGACTATGAAGTAAAACACTAAGGACACGGAGTCACTCTGTAGTCATGAGCTAGAATAATGGCAGTTTGCAGGGGGCTGCATATGAAAGCATAAACCACGGGTGATGGCTCTCTCCCCATGTAGCCTACCTGGTGGTTCAATAATAGTGACCCTGTTGGTTCTTCTGCTCAGTCCTTGCATGGACATTTTGATCCCAATGCTGACAGTTCTTTTTTGGAATGTCCTGATCATTTGTCATAGCAGCAAGAACCAGCCTAACTTGTTACACATCTTCCCCATTCTATAGGCTATAACATCTGGGATTTTCAGTTTAGTACCACTGAATTCCATTTGTTACTATTTTAAGTGTTATGCACAGAATTATGAGGTGATGCCATGTCACTTGCATAAGAGACATGTCTTCTTTTCTCCTTCATGGGTGGTTTTCTGTTATTGGACCTTCTGGTCTTTGGTTCAGATGTTAAGCTTTATTCTGAATTCCTGTTATATTGTCTTGTGTTGGTGCTGATTAAAACCCATTGATTTTGTGGCTGAGAAAAATTATATGCCTTTTCTTTGTCTTCAGTGTTTGGCCTTGATTCTCTCAGAACAGGATTTCTTCTACCAAATGTGTTTATACAGTTTATGTATTCTCTCACTGTAGTCTGAGGGGGTCCAGTTCTACTCCCAGTCACCATCAATTTTTCAGCCTCAGTTCTCTTGTTGTCTGTCCTTTTCCTTGTCAGTTTCAGCTCATCCTGACCTATGTTTTTCTAGCCATGCTTAGCTGCTTTCATACCATGCATAGTACTGCCCCATCAGAAAAATTTCAGATGCTAATTGTTTTGCAGTTCAAATTATTTAGTGGTATACTAAATTTAAGAAAATCTGAATAAACAGGAAATAACTCTGACCAGCAAAACATCAGTGGTATAATGAACTCACCTCTAAATACTTTGTCAACATAATGTTCAGACCAAGAGTTTGCATGAAATGTATCCAAATAATAAATCAGTTTGATTTTTAATAACTGTAAGATATTATACAGATGTACTTTTGTCTCCATAGTTATTAATTTGTAGGTATTTTAATTCTTTTAGGTTTAGAGTTACTAAATGAATGATGATAAGAAATGGTTTGGTTCATGCATTGCATCAAGTCTCTCCCTTAAAATGGATTTATGCAGAAGTAAAAGACGCTCACACATGTAAGGAGTAGGGTTTTTCTGCCTGCTGCCTAGTCTTGTCCCGCCGCCAAGCCAGCCCCAAATAATACACAGAGACTCTGTATTTGATATTATGCTGTTGGCCAGTTATTTGTTTCTTATAGGCTAGCTCTGTCTTAAGTATTAACCCATTTCTATGTATTTCCATGTGGTCTTACCAGTGAAAGGCGGCTGGCGGTTCTATTTTCTCCAGACTCTCCATCTTGACGCCCCTTACTACTTCCTCTTTCCTCCTTGTATCCTAGTCCCTCCTAACTTCCTTTCCTATTGGCCAACAGTGCTTTATTCATTAACCAGTATGAGAAACATATACATAATGACATCTCCCATCACACATCAGTGTAAGCTTTTTTTAAATTACCAAATGAGAAGGAATTATATTGTGGCACTTTTGTTAATATATGGAAAAGGAATGGTAATTTTCTTGTTTGGAGAAAGGTTATTTTATCAGGTCCACAGAAATAAAAATGACTTATGTGTGACTTCTCTTATTTACATATTATGGGGAATGTGTAACTTGAAGTATTTTCTCATAGTTCAGGGAAATATAGTCTTTATTTACATTTAGAGATGGTTACTTGCTCTTCCCTAAATAAAATGCAGTTCATTTTTAATGATCTCAGCTTGTTCTACTGACTCCTGCACCTACCTGTGAAGATCACAATGTATCCAGGAACCATATTCTGCCCTGTTCATGTGCTTCAGTGAAGCAACAATTCACTATACTATTTGCTGAGGAAGACACAGAATATGGCCACTATTTTGTTATTGTAAAGGATGAAATTACAATGATCTGGTGATGGAGACTCAACATTCTCACAATGGAGGCTCTTTTCTAGTGAATAATACTATAAGGAACACAGTAGGATGAGGCCTTTTAAAACATGATATTCACTGTTTTTAAAAAGAATGAAAGACAGATTTCCCAAATTAAAGAAATGAGGATTGCAAAAATCTTGAGATTTCCAGCGTTTCCAAGTAAGGAATCCATACTGCATTGATACCAGTTTCCTTATAAGCAAGCACTCATATTCACTATTTTCCAGTTCAGATACTAGACTCAGAGGTTTCAAAACCTATTTGAGTTACTTTTGACTCCTAATATCATCATTATGTGAGAGTGGGAAGAGATGAAGTAAGTAAAAGTTTAGGTGGGCAGACTGGTTCATACCTGTATTATCACTTGGAAGGCCAAGACAGAAGGAACATGAGCTTCAGGACTTTGTGAAGACTTCATGTAGCTTTCCAACCCACCACCACCTTAGCATAGATTTGAGATGGGATGGAGTAATAGTGAGTATTTTAAGTCTAAGTTAATGAACCATGTAAGCATTATTTGACATAATTAGCATGTTATTTAAACTCTTTGTGTGTCTTTTCATTTGAAATCTATAAATGATAATGTCTACATCAATGACTATTCTAATAATGTATAAATTTCAATATGTACATAGGTAATTACATATGTACTATAGTATTATACTTATATATAAAATATAAACATGAGATAGGGAGGCTGACTTAATTCTTGGTATTGTCATATGTCATTATGGAAATTCAGATAGCTCACAATCTGCTATAGATAAACAGTAACAAACCAGGAAGCTGGTGGTGTAACTCAGATAGGATTCAAAGGTCAAAGAGCAAGATCAAGAGGGAGACAATGGTATCAATTTTAACTCCAGTCCAGAGGTTCTCATGTCCAAGATCCTGGAGCACCATTGGTGGGTGGCAGCAGAGGAGGGCTGTGCCAACACAAGTGAGAAATGGATCTACCCTTTCTCCACATTTTTATTCTCCTCAGGTTCTTATGAATTTGTTGGGGTCTTCTGAACTGGTGAAGCAAGAACTTTAAAATTCAGCATACTGTTGTGTATGCTAACATTTTCACAATGATTACTCAATATGTGGATTTTAATGTTAGTGTTTCCTGTAGTATGCCCCCAAAATATTCTTTCTGCTGTCTAGGCATTCCATACTTTGCTAGATTGATACATGAAATCACAATAAGTCAACAAAGTATGTAAATGGATGGCTTATGTCAAAATATGCCTGAGACTCCCTTTACAAATTAGGATCAGCCTGGAGTCCATAGTTTTATTTAACATAGTTTGGTGGATAAATTTGAAAAAAAAATCCTTTTTTATTTATTTAAATTTGAAACAATCTTGTTTTACATGCCAATCCCAGTTCCATCTTCCTCCCCTCCTTCCTTGCCCCACCTACCCCCTAAACCCATGGCTCAACCATTAAAGGCTCACTCACAACCAAAAATATTAAAAAAAAAAATCAATTTTAAAAATATTAAATAGGAGTTGTGACTAAAGCTAGGGCTTTTAATAAGTTGATTTTAAGTTGAAGTCAAGAGGTTGTATAAGATTTCTAAAGAATATTCAAAAACTGAGGGAAAGGACAGAGTCATGGCAAAAAACAAAACTGGCCTGAAAGAATGTGGAGACAAAGACATCTAAGAAAGTGCCAGCCCAAAGCTGAAAGGTTAGGACACTACACTGGCATCCATATTTGGTTCTTGGAGATAAGTAAAAAAAAAAAAACATATAAATTAACTTACCAACATGTTTACTGGGTTTGGCAATGTAGGGGAAGTCAGCAAAGCCTATAGGAAGAGTGAGGATGTTATTTGATTTGTTTGCAAATTGTAGAAAGACATTCAGATAACAGATAGACACATGGATTATAGAGAGATGATAGGTCAAAGATTTCCTTATTCCCCTGCTAGGAATCTCTTCATAAAATAACTTACAACTAACAAAGTATCATACCTCCTCATTTAGTCAAGATCCCCCAATTATCAGACCAGCCCCGTGAACGTATACTTCTTTTGTCTGAACAAAACCTGTTTCAAAGGGGCTTAACTCTCTGTTTAAAAAGACAGAATTATTTTGCAAGAAGTATGTATTTATTTTCAAAAACTAGGTACTGATATTTTGATCTCCCAATTACAGAGGTGTAAATGGTTTTATATGATGTAAATAGGGAATTGCACTCAAAGAAACATGTGAAAACACATGAGTAATATAATAGATAACACACTGAGAAATTTCACTGTAGATTGAAAACTCATTATGTTAAATGATTTATAAGTATTCTCTTTACAGCAATGCCATTATTCCCTGCTTTCCTTTATGTATCCATCATATGGGGGTAGTAGTTGTGGGGAAGATGAACTTAAATGAATGGGAATATTAGATAGGTGTGGTGTTATGGTGATCATGTCTCCTATTC